GATCTTTAGGTTGAGCCCCAGTATGTGTCTCTGGGTTCTTATTAATCATGCAACAGGTATGCCCTCCATTTCTGGATGGTAGTTCATTGCAGATGTACTCAAATTGACAACCAAGAATAGTCCTCACAGTTGTCCTCCTCCGAATCCATACATGCATGTGTGCGTACACACACATGTGCATACACACACGTGATACATTTTTTTTAAAAAAATTGTGACACCTTCCTAATTTCCAAATGTACTGAATGGTTATATTAAGTATATCCCAAGCAGAAATAGCGTTATATTCTCCAAGCAGGAAGATCTGAAATTTTAACTTCATAAGATTAATATCTGAACCCCAATCTTTAGCTGGTGATCTGTGTGAACCTCAGGGTTGTGTATGTACGTGTGTGTATATGTGTGTGTGATCTGTGTGGTCCTCAGGGTTGTGTGTGTGTGTATATGTGTGTGTGTGATTTGTGTGGTACTCAGGGTTGTGTGGGGGGGGTTATGTGTGTGTGATCTGTGTGATCCTCAGGTGTGTGTGTGTGTGTGTGTGTGTGTGGTATGCATGTATGCTGAAACTGTCCACCTTGTATTTTGAAGCTGTGTGTCTCATTGGGACCTAGGGTCACTGGTTAGGCTAGGATCTGCTTTTCCAGTGAGTGCTGGATGTGGAATGTAGGTCCTTGACTTTACCTGGAAAGCCCTTCCTCTGAGCCATCTCTCCAGTGAACCTCTTCTCATCTGCAATACCAGTGCCGATGAAGCCCTTTCCAGGATTGAGAAGAAGAACTATCTTGTTTACTGCTCGATCCTCAATGCCTACGTCGGCATCCAGCACACAGTAGGCGTTCACTGGCCAATTGTGACCTGTATGAATGAAATATAGCTATGGAAGTGGCTGTGATGCTTAGATATACGTCAAGTTGCCAGAGCGCAGACTCTCCTGGGAAGTCATAGTGAAGAATTATTTAGATCAGATTGGCCTGTGGCATGTTCATGTGTTCATGGCGGGCTGCCTTGCATGTAAGCCAGGTTCAAAGATCCACCTTGAATGTTGGCAGCATCTTTTCCTGGGTTGGGCCCCAGAAGTTTGTAAGAGTGGAGAACATTAGTTGAGCATATGCAGCAACCAGCAAGGGCGCATTTACAATCTCTGCTCCTGACTGTGAGGCGCTGGGACCAGTTGCTTGAGTTACTTCCCATCAGTGATGGGCCTGGAGTCGTAAACCAGATCGCCTTTTCTTTCCTTGGTTGCTATGAGACTAGGCCACAGATAAAGCCTTCTCCTGCTCATGACGGTGCTTCATTTGTTTCCTGGGATGAGAGATCTGCTAAGTGGATTCAAGAACGTTTTTGGAGGAGGAGCCGGCATTAACTCCTTAGTTAATCCTCAGATCCGTGCTTTACCAACCTAAGCAAGGCCCTAACCTTCCCCTGGGAAGTTTACTGAACCCATTTTGGTCATTTGTACTATGTGCATTTGTACTATGGAAATAACGACAGCGCGGCTCTCAGAGCCTTAGAGAACGAGACTGGTTGGTGCAGATATCGGTCTTAGAAAAAGACAGTGTCGAGAAACACTCATGCTGTCAAAGCCCCACCAGCCCACACATTATGAACGCAGTGCCCTTCTGAGTTCCATAAGCGAATGACCTCAGATCAGCTTGTGCAGGAGAAACCCCTTCTATGCAATCTGTGTTTAGGATGAACCTCCTTCATTCCCTTTGCATGGGCAGAGGAAAGAAAGAAAGGCACCCGGAGGAGGGAGGGTAGAGCGAGGATGGCTTTGAATACAACTCTAAAGTTGGGCTTAGTGGTACATTTGGGAGCCTGAGGCAGGGGTATCACCTCTTGTTCAAAGGCAGCCTGGGGTATATAATGAGTTCAAGGCCAAACTGGACTACATAGTGAGATTCCATAGCTGGAGAAGAGAAGAGAGAAGAGGAGAGGAAAGGAGAGGAGAGAAGAGGAGAGAAGAGGAGAGGAGAGGAGAGGGGGAGAAGAGAGAAGGGAAGGGGAGGGGAGGGGAGGGCAGGGGAGGGGAGAGGAGGGCAGGGGAGGGGAGAGGAGAGGAGAGGAGAGGAGAGGAGAGGAGAGGAGAGGAGAGGAGAGGAAAAGAAAGGAAAAGGGTCTGTCTGATTCTGGCTAGAACATGTACTAGTTTTTCTACCTGAAAAATCAAGACAGCACCTGTCTTAATTAATCACTATATATTATATATAATATATATATTATATGTTAATATATTCATCAGATAAACATGTACAACAATATGCATTACTTATAAATTTAAGAAACACCGCACACACTTTGTAAAAAGCTAGTGTTATGATTAGGATGTTGCATGCCTTAATTTACATAAAATGTTAAAGCTCACTGCCAGGCACCCTGCAAGCACCAACACAGGTACTTCCTTATCGTGAACACACGTGCATCCCACTGGTCCTGCTCCGCAGGAGAAGCCTGACTAACACCCCTGGAAGCTCCTTTATGCTTACGGTTAAGTTAATACTAAAATCACGGTGAGACTGAATTACTGGGAAGCAAAGCTGAGTGAGAGAATCTGCCTGCCTCAGTCTCTTTCCCACAGAGGTTGTTGCTTTGAAGGAAGCTTGCTGCTGCTCAGACAAGGAGCAAGATGCGACATGAGCCATCTTGCCTTCCAGCGACTCCTTAAAATGCTTGATATAAATTTCCAGCGCTCCAAAACAACTCTCTTGACCTCGGTGCTTTTTTGGACTCTGTTATTTCCAACTTAATCCTTTCATCCCACCCCACCCTGGATATATTTATAAGGCCTGAACTCAAGCCTGGCTTTCCTTTCTCGTCTGTCTGTGTATCTTAGTGACGGTCACATGCTCACTTGGAATGGGTGTCCTTCCCCACCTCCCTTTATCAGTACTTCATGAAATCAAGGGTAGAGTGTAAGCAATTTGTCTACAATACACACAAGCCCAAGGTGAAGCCAGGAACTTCCTTCCTATGATCTACACTTGGACATTTTAAAGGGAACATATGCTCCGCTTGTTCTGTATGACACAGAAAATATAAAACGGAACCCTGCAGAAATCCTTACGAAGCACCTTGACCGTCCCTGCCCGCATGGGGCCTTTGCCTGGCTTTAGTATCCTGCACCCCTCTTGGCCCGGCCTGACCCTTTACCGGAAGCTTTCCCACCGTGGGAGCTCACAGTAAAGTCTACTTACTACACACAAATGGACTCTGCCTGCCACACGGCCTCCAAACCACTTAAGAAGTGCGGTTTTTATCATCTGGAGGGTTTACCCTGCATTCCCAATTAGACGGTAAAACAAGATGGACACATGTCTGTCTTCTCTGTAAACTGTGACGGTGCACACCAGCAGAGGTGGCCCCCAAAAAGGTCTGTGCATGAATGGCAACCGTCTCTATCCTGGAGTGGCTACTAATACTGACGCTGTGGTTGAATTGTGTTCTCTCTCAAGCACAGAAGGCATGCTCTTCCTTGAAGGGACGTGGTCCATACCTGGGACTTGCCAGTTGTATTGTTTTATCTCCGAGGCTTCTCTGAAAGACAGCACCAGGGAGTGATGTGTGAGCAAGTCCTTATTATGGAGATTTAGCCTGGTGCTAAACCCCAGACTCTCTCTGTTCAGCTTCCAGGGAGCACCAAGCCTCAGACAGTTCTTTTAATTGCATCTGGCAAAAGGAGTCCTCATAAAAATATACTAGCAAGCTATTAAAAATAACATCAAAATAGCAGGCAAAGGAGAAAGGAAAAAGGAGTGCCCCGAAGAAGGCTTAGCTCAAATACCAGTATGGAAAAGGAAGTCTATTCCGTTTTCTCCAAGCTTCTGTTAGTAACACTGGGGCCTTTAAAGACCGAGAGGTGGGAGGCGGAATGGCGGCTCAGGCCTGGCAGCTACGTTTATGTTTTCATACGTTTGAACGTTCTGAGCAATTTTTACAAGTTTGTGAATCGCCAGAATATGAGTATTTTTCTCTTCCCTTTATTATTTTTCTGTTTATTTATGTATCTATTTATTGTGCTGGGGATGGAACTCGGTGCTCTGTGGACATTAGGCAAGCATTCTTACCCCTACCCAGATGAGGTAATGTCTTAATGGTGACTCCTTGGGCCTGGGCTGGAACTCTGTTCTGTCATGTTTGCCTAACACACCTGGGGTCTGTATTCAATCCGCAGCACTGAGAGGAAAAAAAATAATTGAGTCTTCTCTGAATTTACCTTTCTATACATCTTTCTTTGGGGGAAAACCCGAAGCTTTCCCTGTATTCTCCACAGCGTAAGACAGGACTTCCCACCTGCTCATCGAGTTTAGCAGGTGAGATTAGAACACCCTTATTCCAAGTGTGTCTCCAGGTCTCCAGTTTTGAAGCTTTTTTTTTTCTTATTTCATAGCAGAACAAAGCAAAAAAAAAAAAATCCCTCAGCCTTTTAATGGTCTCAAAGTTAACCCTCTCAAAAAATTAAAGGCATTTCCAAAATAAATGCAGACAACATCTGAAAGCTAACCTTATCTAATGACTCCAGGGCCCGTGGAACTTGACAAGGTTTCCAGAATCGCTCTTGAGAGCTTGAGGCATCTGCAGTCCTCACAGGAGAGGGGCTGCCAAGTTGTGGGAAAGCGTTAGCTCTTTACTTTGCCTCATTAAGGACACACCGTTTCCCTCAGGTCCTACAAAACCCACCAGAAGCATTTAACTGGTTCTTGTGCTGAGAGACAGTCCTCTGCACAGTTAATTAAGAGCAGTACCTTTTCCAGGCTCAGAGAGTTTTGCACATTGCTCAGGAAGGTTCCTACAGAAAATAAAAATTAAAATATCAATCTGATATCAAACTAGGGCCAGCACGTGGAATAAAGTTGTTGAAGAAGTTAGGCATCTTGTTAGTTAAACGAGATAAGGTTAGAGCAGAGTTATAGACCACCAATAGTTATTTCTAAGAAGCTGATTTGATGTGTCATCAAAATGGTCCTTCAGCCACGATCAGTAAATAATGACTGTCACTAGGATACTATTTATGTATCTGTTTATCACTGCCAAGGGAAGTCCTCCTGGGGATGCTGTGAGGGACCAGCATCAATCCAAGACGAAGACCAGGCATGCACAGCCGCTCACCCCAGGGGTGCTGAGTCATGACAGCACCCACTCAGTCCCCGCAATCTCTGGGCCTTCACACAGCATCTCTTTCAGTGACTGTCACTGCACTCTTTGGTCATGTATGAATATTTGTGTAAACTCCTCAGGTGCTCCCTCAGGGTGAAAGGCCTAGCAAGGACTGATGCTCTGTCAGCTCTCCTGGAGAATGCAGAGAGGCTTATCCATTTCACTTGCAATGCCTTCCTCCGGCTACTTCCTCCTACAATAGGAAGGAAGAATTCTGTATGTCAGGAGGTGTTGCTAAATTTCTTTTCCTGAGGGAAACAACAATGTCTGTCCCTCTTTCTAAGGTCCCAGTGACAAAACAAGGCATGAATCTGTCAAAATTCAGTCTGGAGAACCAATGACTCAATCGAGCTTCCTCACAAGCATAGGCAAAGGGTTGTTTGCAGGAGTGTGGGAACCCTCAACCCCAATAAAAGGCCACAGCTGCAAAGCTGCCTAGACGGAGCTACTCCTAGCCTTCCCTGGCCACATACGGTGAAGGCGGTTTTGCAGAGTATGTGGTAGGAGCAGCTGGATACTCAGGTGAGGGTCAGTTCCTTAAGAGAGTGAAAGGCAAGAAGAAGCCGAGCTAGGACGATCCTTTCGCGAGGGACCTCCTCGGGACAGCAGTGGTGTGGCTCAGAGGCTATGCCGTTTTCCTCAGAGGCTCCTGTGCCTCTAACATTTTGCCTCTGTCCTGAGGCCCACGATTCTGCTTGTGGTCAAAACTTTCAAACACACAGATGGAAAACTTTTCTTCCTTTCCTTCCTCAGCTGATGGCGGGCGTCCTCCCTCTGAGCCTGACCTGCAGTGATCTCTCCCTTGCCCACTAAACTCCAGTTTCTCCCGTGGGTCCAAATCTCAGGTTTTGGCATGAGACACCCGGCTGACTCACTCCTTCCCTAATCTCAGGACTGGGTTAAAGGCACACATATTTATTTTGTAGACACAGATGCCAGGCTCAGTGTGTCCCCTGTCATTACGGAATACTGCCTGCTTCCTTCACTAACTTACCAATGTCAAGACAGAGCGATTTTTTTTTTCTGTTTCCATCATCAAACCTGCAGTGCCTAGCAACAAGAACAAGATAAACCCTTTATAATTATCGGGCACTTCCCCTTTATTACAATCGTTAGTCATCAGGTTTGAACTTACATTATTGTGAGATTCCTTACCCCTGCAACTGAGAGGAGGGGAAATCAATCTGTTCTTCTAAAGGGTTAATGTGATTTCTCCAACAGAATAATTGGATCTGGAAAACAGTGGTCAAATCTGGAATAATAATAAACCACCACCACCACAACAACAAAAAACAAAAACAACCCAATTGGATTGGAAGCTAAAACGCACAGCTCAAGTTCAGACAGAGGTTATAGAAGGTTCCTCACCGGTGTGGTGGGTCTGACTTGCATGACCGTGCACACGGTTCAGGAATGAAGAATCACGCTTTTAAAACTCGTTTTACCTGCTCACAAGGCCTCTCCTTCCATCAGTAGGAGTCAAGCTTAATCTTTGCGCTTATGCAATCGTCTTTTGGTTCAGGCCAGACTTTCTTCTGACAGCCTTTCGGATACTGTAGGATTCACACTTCTCCCAGTATTACCTCTAGGGGCTGTAGGATTTACAGAAACAGATGGGGCTCATCAACACGGTAGACATAGATGCACGGTGTTGGGCAAACAACACCCCATTAAGCACCCTGGGACCCGGAAGGTGGACTTCCAGATCCTCTTTGGAGAAGGGTTTCCGTTTGCTCCCACGGCAGCTCACAAACAGTAGTTCCCTCACCGTGCTGAGTCATCGCTTCTGCAATGAGGAACGTAGGTGTGGTCTCAGTCAACAGCCTCCCACAGTGACAGTGCATTCACCGAGGAGTTTCAGGGCTTACAAGAGGAAGTCAGGGCAAAGTAGATGTCCTGTCCTCCCCTTTTCTTCAGTTTAGGAGGACTGTCTGGACCTCCTCATTTGGTTCTTACATCTCACAAACAAGATCACACCAGGAGCCTGCCATGCACTCGGTATTCTCTGGGGATTTTACAACTGTCCCAACTTTCAAAAAGCTGCTGAGAGTTGACAACTAAGAACAAAATAAGTAAGCATGGGATGAAATGATGATGTGGAATTTCCCTCTGTATGCTGTGAATGTTTTCTTACCATTGGTTAATAAAGAAGCTGCTTTGGACCTATGTCAGGGCAGAATAAAGCCAGGCAGGAAATCCAAACAGAGATATAGAGAGAAAGTAGGCAGAGGGAAGGAGATGCCATGTAGCTGCCAAAGGAGACAGACGCCAGATCCTGACCAGTAAGCCATAGCCTCGTGCCAATACATAGATGAATAGAAATGGGTTCAAGATATAAGAGCTAACTAGAAAGGTGCCTAAACTATTGGCTGAACAGTGTTGTAAATAATATAGTTTCTGTGTGATTATTTGGGTCTGAGCAGTCTCCACCTACAAAGTGGGGACCCAATCCTTTGGTTCTTTCCAACACCTCACAGAAGCATTGTCTAGCCAAGGAGGTGACCGTCTGAACTTCAGTCAGGTGTAGGCATGAAGATGACCATGCCGTTATGCAGCATTCCCTAGCGTGTTCTTCACCAACCCATCGCCCTGCCACGTCCCCTGCTTTATTTGGAAGGGACTCCAGGCTCTTCTTTTATCCACTGGTCACAGCCTCCGGTTGACTTGCCTGCTCTGTGCTGTTTTCTTCAGGGAACCTCTGTGCAGCAGAGGCCGGAGCCCAGTTCTCCACTGCCTGTGAAATGGAAAGCAGATGTCTACTCCCCAACTCTGCCTCATCTCGGGGAGCTGGAGCCCTGCTGGTTCAGTGGAGGGGTTCCTCTCCCCACCCCCTGTTTTGTTCCTTTTTTCTTTTATTGTTTTTATTGTGCTATGCATTTTTCTCTGCTCCCCTCCCTTCCTTCCCTCTCCCCTGACCCCCATGCTCCCAAATTTACTCAGGAGATCTTGTCTTTTTCTACTTCCCACGTAGATTAGATCCAGTCTCTTTGTCATCTAGGTTCTCTGGGGTTGTGGGTTGCAGGCTGGTTTTTCTTCGCTTTATGTCTAAAAGCCACTTATGAGTGAGTACAGATGATATTTGTCTTTCTGGGTCTGGGTTCCTCTTAACCTGGGAAGTGTTTGCCTGGACTACTTTACTTTGATTTCCCTTCTCTCCTGCTTCCCCCTTCCAGCAAATCTGCCTCCTATAGCGAAAAGGTTTGCAATAAGGAGCCAGGCAGGAAACATAAAACCCATAGATGCTGATTACACACCCTCCTGTTTTAACCTGAACTAAACCTTCCACTAAGTAGTTCAGGAACAACACACAGTGAAGAATGTCCTAAATGCAATATGAGATTTATTCTTGGTTGCTAAGAAATAAAAAACACTGTTGAAACAGCAAGAGTTTATAAAGCAAGAACAATTAAGACAAAACATTTATTTTTAAACCAGACTAACTATAATTAATTTTCTCTTGAGAGATAAATGTGCTCTCAAGAACACTTTTAGGTTCATGATTAAGTCAAATTAAAATTACATATCAAATCACAAAATGCTTTTTAATTTAAACAGTCCATGTTTAATAATAAAAGAAACCTCTAAAATATTAAGACATTTTAAGACTCAACTATTACTAAATCCTCAAAGCAGAGTAAATCAGCAATAGAAAATAAAATGCTTTGTTAAATTATTTTCTTCTAACTGGATAATTTCTAATTATATAATTGGCAGATTAATAGTTTACAACAAATCATTATGCTTTGTATTTTTATGAAATACTTTACAAGGGGAGCTAAATTAGGGATAATAAGTTAAATAAATATGCTACTTAAAACTGAACTGTAGAAAAACTGACATAGTGTTAAAATCTCACTCAGTGACTATTTTTAGATGTTGGTTAGGTAATTTACTATTATTTAATATAAATGTAATATTTAGATAAAACTTTCTCTAATAGTTTTATTAAAATTTTAGAGAAGAAAAAATTGGAGGAAGACAACTAAATATCACAATGTGCTGAAAATAAAATTTAGCAAAATTAGATTAAAAGCTGAGCTGTTGTAATTTAAAAAAAAAAACAGGAATCCTAATTTTCTTTTTATAACTCTATATGCATCTTCAGCTGGCTCGAGAGTTAACCGTATTCAAATATAAACATGAGTTTCAGCGGTGTTTCCATCCTGTGTCTTCCCACTGAACAAGCACACACGTATCATACCAGAAGGACCTGTATCTCCTGGTCACAGATGACAGGAAGCCCTGCAGAGTACTGGCTTTTCATCTGACTTAACTTGACAAGTAACTTGAAAGCAGCAGAGATATATTGTGCATTGTCTTGGTGCACAGGCAGGTTAGAATAAAAACAAGTTATTTTTGTTTCTTAGACTATATGGATAAAGTAAAATATTCTAGAACATGATCTGAACTTAAAAACAAAGAAAATAGAAACCAGCAATTTCATGCGTGTGAGTCAGCCGGCTGAGGAGTTCTTTCACACAGACCTGTGTCCCTTTGAAGTACAAAGCCTCTGAGCAGTTTTCCTCTCCCCAAACCTGCTAAGCGCTCGCAGTTTTACTTAGTCATTATTTACCAGGGAGCCTTGCTATTCAGATCAAAGGCTGTTGCAACTAAGAAAGGATTATTAGGTTTTCTCTTTCCTTTTACATTCCTTATGTAATAAGATACAGCAGGAAAAGTTCCTACTCCGCAGATGTATAATACACGACTATTTAGGTGACAAAGCACTAATAAAGTTTTCAAGGTCTGCTAAAGAATCGTGAAGTTCATCGTTCATATCGTGACTTCTAAGGAACTTTTTAAGGGTGCCTATAGCTTCGATTGCGTCATTTTTGGATGGTAAGGGCGGGTCCGCTTCTAGAGCTCCGCTGTCCTCCTCCTCTTCATCAGAAGCATAAAAACCAGTTTCACCTTGTTTACTTTCATTGGTACACTCCGCATCATCATTTGTGGTGGCTTCACAGGTCTCCAGATCCTCGTCCAGGGCAGCATACTCCTCTATGGACAAACCTTCAGGAAGCTCCACCCCTGCTCCCAGAGCAGGGGCGGCCAGGTCAAGAGCAGCAGCGTCACTCTCTGCCTTTGGCAAGTCTGTTTCCAGCGCTGGAGACCTGAATCCTGCTTCTTCATAGCTTTTCAGAATGGTCTCTGGGGTTACAGCTCTCCAACACAGATGCAATGTATCAACCGCGTCTAGTAGAGAAAATGTAAATTCTTTGCTACTTTCAACAGAACTTAAAAATTTCTTGATAAGACAGTGCCGATATTTGATTTTCAGGCTTTTAATAACACCTTGTTTCATAGCGACAAGCCCGGAAGACAGGCATGATGGGAAGATTGCTAACTCAATGGACTTTAGGTTTTTCACCTCTGGATGTGCTGGGCAAGAATCAACAAAAATCACCACTCTTCGTTGCTGGGCTTGAAATTTCTCATCGAGCTGATGCATCCACTGTTCGAATATGGCTGCAGTCATCCATGCCGTTCTGTTCGCTTCATAATACACAGGCAGGGACTTTATGCCTTTGAAACAACGCGGAGTTCGGTTTTTCCCAATAATGAGCAAAGGAAGCTTCTCTGAGCCGTCCATGTTTGTTCCGACTGCAAGCGTTATTCTGTCTTTGCACAGCTTTCCGACTGAGCAAGTCTCTCCTTTATATGCAAATGTGTTTGTAGGTAGCATTCGATAAAGCAGTCCGGTCTCTTTAATACTGAAAACATTCTTAGGATGATAATCATTTAAGTAATAAGGCAGCACATTTTGGTACCAGACAACGGCAGGGTCTGTAGATATACCGGAGGCTTCTACAGACTGTGCTCTGAAAACTAAGCCGTACCTGGACTTGAAACGATCCAACCAACCATTGCTGCACTTAAAGTCATTGTGTCCCAGCTTCTGAGCAAAATCGTTAGCTTTTAGACGTAACATCGGCCCGTTAACGGGAACATTGAGACACTGGGCAATCCGATACCACCTCATCAGTGCCTCTTCCAGATCAGTATAAAATGCCGTTCTCAGTCTTTTTCTCTTCGGATCAAATCTCAGAGACTCAAAGGCTTCCAGAACTTTGTCTTTGTTTTTCATAATGGAAGACAAAGAATTTTTCTTTATTCCGTATTCAGCTGCAATCTCGGCCTTTTTCTTGCCACTCTCCACTGCATTTATGATGTCAATCTTTTCCTCGATGGACAGACTCTTCTTTTTCTTCCCAGCCACTGGCTGAGTCACGGCATCCACAGGGGCCTCGGCCATCTCAGCCCCCTCTCTGAGCTCCTGGTACAAGTTTCTGCAACCAGTTTTGGTTTTCAGAGCAATGTGGACCAAGGCTTTCTATCTATCATTTCCTGTATTAAAGCTGGTAAGTATCAGTAGTCTAACTCTTTAGGAAACTGACAACTAGAGGTATCTTGCAAAGTCTGAAGCAAAGTCTATATGCGATTAAGAGGCGCCTCCTTCCTAGGGTCTTGTGCGGCTCAATTTATAGTTCTTCGGAGTTCCAGAAGTCAAGCTAAAATAAGAATCTCATTATGTCAAACCTGCCCGGTCCTGCTAATGTATTTTTGGAGCTGCAATCCTTTAAGACGCTCCATTGTATCCATGCATGCTTCAACCTTTTAGTAGCTCTCCACAGAGAACAGAGGGCCTCAGAGAGAAGAAACAGATTTTCCAAAGTGTCCGTACAAAACATCACCTGTTAAGTTCATGTTTCTTCAAAGTTACAGGGGAAAGTGGCATGCTTCTACTTCTTTCTTGAAAATGACAGGAGGAAAGGTAGCATTTTAGCCGTCTGCCAACGGAACATCAATAGAATACGACACCCTGAACGACAGTGAAACGGACGGGAAGAAGTTTCTGAAAAGGCAGCAACCAAAGCTTTCAGGTGAACGCTGACCTCCTCAACGTCCTCCATTAGAAGGTCTCCAGCTCTGCTTTGTGGGTTTGGAGCCTCCCTGTGCTTTTCGGCTTTGAAAATGTGTGCTTGCCAAAATTAAAGAACTAAAAATGATCCTGGATAGTTCATCGGGCGACTATTTTCTACATGAGGTCACAGACTATAACCTCTGGCTCTTCTAAAAGCAAAACCAGACGGTCGTCATGAGCTCAATTTTTAATAGCACATGGGAGACAGACTTCTTCATAGGAGTCTGCTTGATTGAAATACTCAAATCAGGTGGTTGATAATTCCATTAAAAATTCTAAACTCCATTCTCACTCAGTATTACTTGAGAATATGCATCATAATAAATACATTATTAGGAGAATATAATGTAGAAAATGATCTCAACTAAATAGGAAGTAGGGTGACCATGGTTCTTACCCTCTCAGGGCCTCTACTGTCTGTGTGTGGAAAAGTGACTTGCCATAGTACAAAGACATGGGCTTTGGTGCAAGGTGAGGAATGACTGCCATTTAGTACTTAGTGGTTCTGAGTCACCTAACGTAAAAACTTCAGTTCTTTATCTGTAAAGGGGGAGAAACTGCAGAACTGGCTTAATAGAGTTGCTGCACACTCAGCAAAACCCAGTGAGAGCACAAGAGGCATTAGTGTAACACACACACACGCATGCACGCACACACACACATGCACACACACATACACACACGCACATACGCACACACGCGCGCACACACGCACACACGCGTGCACACACACGCATGCACACACACACACACACACACACACACACACACACACACTATCAGGTTTCTGTAGAAGAATAGACCATCATGAATGCTGTGAACTCCCGTAGCATCACTGCATGACTTCCAGGGAAAGCTCGGCTTTCTAAGTAGACAGGACTTGACCATGTGACTTAGTTCCCTCAATCCCTAGCACATTGTTCATTTATGTGGGGAATACTTGCATATTTTCTTAAAAATTTGTAGACTATCTTTTATGTAAATATTTTGTTCTTATTAGTTTGATATTAGCGTTTAGAAAACATCTCCCTCCCTCCCATCTTATTTTGTCAAAAAATAAGCAAGGGCTGCAGAAATGATAAGTTGAATTTTTTCTTTGTTCATCCTAACTGACACAATTAAAAAATAGATTGAAAATCTCTAATCTCCAAATTGTAATTTCTTATTTTTTTTTTTTGAGATAGGGTTTCTCTGTGTAGCCTTGACTGTCCTGGAACTCACTCTATAGACCAGGCTGCTCACAGACTCACAGAGATCTGCCTGCCTCTGCCTCCTGAGTGCTGGGTTAAAGGAGTGTACCACCACCACCAGGCTAATATCTTCAAATCTTAAATCCAGTGGATTTATGGATTAAGGATGTTCAATATTCCAAATAAAAGGCTCACAATCTGAATTACTTGTGTGAAGCACTTTAGATAATGAACACTAAGCCCGTACACACAGTCATAGAGACAATGTCATCTTGATCAATATCTTTATTTAGGAAGATATACAACTTGCCTTTTGCATCAACAGTATCATTTCCTTCAACAACAAAAGTCAAATTTCCATAGTAATATACAACAAATTCCTAAAACAATCAAATATGTGATGTGAACTAGACGAACTAGACCTTTCCCCTAGAAAGGTATAAACATCAGAACATCAGTACTGCCCAGTTAATAAGGGATGCTGTCCAGCCTTCCATAGTACTGCCCAGTTAATAAGGGATGCTGTCCAGTCTTCCACAGACTATTGGTGGCGCTGGCTGTTCAAGGAGTCATGGCAGTAACTAATATTTACTGAAAATGCTTATGCTTTCAATAAGCTCAGTGTTCATATCCGCCTTGAACACGTTAAGCCGAACAATGCTGTCCAACGAGTTAGAAATATTTTCTCAACAGTTGGCCTAAGAAATAGGCCTTTCCCTAAAGAATCCTATGAGAGATAAATAATATTAGTCTTCTTTTATATTCTTGGTTTTGCCGATGAGAAGTGCAGCATCTGGTGTTTTCCGAGAACTGTGCATAGGTTGTTAGGAGGTACATCAATCGGTGCAAAGCGTATGGAGGGCAAATTAGCAACCCAAAAGGAAAAACTTTAAAATGTCTAAAATTTCTTAATCTAGAAAGTCTGTATCTATAATTCTGTCTGGAATTGGAGTTACAGGTAGTTGTGAGCCACGTGGGTGCTGGGAGCTGAACCTTTACAAGTCACCAGAGCAGTAAGCTCTCCAAACCAACGGGCTCTTCGCAGTCCAGCAACCATTCGTTATCTCATAGTCTGTGGGTCAGACGTCCAGGGAACTCAACCGGGTCTTTAGGGTCTCACAGAGCAGACGCCAGGATGCCAATCTCTTATCAAGAGGCTCTGAGAAGGAACAACCAAGTCTCACTGAGGTTGTTCGCGGCTTAATTCCTTGCTGTGAAGGACTGAAGCCCTGGCACTTGGTGGCATTTGGTGGCTGCGCCAGGGATCATTCTCCACACTCAGAGCCATCTGCCATGTCCTTGTCACAACAAAGAATGCCCCTCCTGTCCAGGCTCTTGTACACTCTGACTTTGACTTCCTCTTCTCACTGCTTTTAAAGGGTTTGTGTGGTCATGTTGTTAGGCCACCCAGATTAGCTCCCTTTTTAGTAACTCAAAGCCAACTAATTAGCTACCTTAACCACACCTGTAAAAATCCCACTGCAGGTAATGATTATGGGAGTGTTATCCCGTCATGTTTATAGGAAGGGAATAATGCAAGGTGGAAGTCATTGGTGGTCAGCCTAGATTCTCCATGGTACATAATATTCTTTGGGCTATATATTATATCAGAACTGGAAAAATCTAAAGATACAACAAAAAGGTTAATTAAATAAATTAAGAACATCTATATATTGAAATACTACTATACCATTGAACCATTGAATGATCTTTTTTTTTTTTTTTTTTTTGGCTAACCCCAAACTCCAGTTTCGGCCTCCTCTATAGTTGAGATTACTGATATATGTTGGGCCAAAAATATTTCAGGGCCTGTACCTCGAGGCCTGTAGGACAGAGAAAAGCCTCTCATTGGCTGGAGGTGTCCTTACATCACAGGGTGGTGCTTAACCTTTATAAGCAGACACTCACAGCAATAAACTGAGTTTCTGCTTTGGCTTGACTCCCTGTCATGTCTGACTGGGGCTGTGGAAAGGGCAGATAGCACACTCACCTTTCCCTGGGGAGTGAGGAGGCTAAGGAAGCCTAGCAGGCATAAACCATCACCCTGGCTGGAAGGATCATAACTAATGACATGAAGACAATTCTATGACATAAGTTAAGCAACAGAATATGAATCTACATGCCTGAAAATACTGAAAATTACATCAGTCCGGCCATTCATAGATTCTTAATATCAACTGTCAAATAAATGAAGGGAAATACGAATGAAAAGACATCCGGCAGAAATGCTGAGTGTTCCTGCTAGTAAGTGAATAGAAGGTTCAGCCTCCCCACCCACATTTCCTCCCTTCTTTTTTTAAATTCTAACATTCTCTCTGTACCAGACTGTGAGAGAGAACTGAGCACAGGGAGACATGACACTGGTGTCTTCCCATTCAGAAAATCTGGGGAGCCGTAAATGACTCTGGTCTTAACAGCAGTTCACAGCTCTCTGCAGAGGCCCAGCCACTGCCCACAGAGAAAGAGCCCCGCTTTTGTCTTTCACTACCAGACAGCAACAAAGCCCACTTACACCTGCTCATGTCACAGGTCTATATAGTAGCAGTTGCTGGTCTCCTGGAAGTTTCCTGGTATGCAACACGTTACATACATATGTCTACAACCCAAGTAGTGTGAACTCCCTGATGGTTACAAAAGAATAAATATGACCAAAGTTCAGTCTGCCAAAAAGGACAAGGGAGCCAATGAGATGACTCAGCAGCAAAAGTACTTGCAGTACCAGTCCAATAACATAATTTAAGTTGGTTCTTTTGGGGGGAGTGGGATGGGGGGCTAAGGAAACAGATACAAAGAGTCAGTCGTGTAAGGCTGGCCAACAGGGGTTCGAATTAAGGGCTGTGGTAAAGAGGTGGCAAAAACGAACTCCTACAGGGTGGACAAATAAGTTTCTAAGGGAAGCAAGAGCTGAGTTCAGTGCCAAGGATGAATAGGAAAGGCGTGAAGACATTTCTGCAGAGAAGATGAGACAGCGAAAACAGACATGTGCTGCCACCGCCCCGCATAGACGAGCACTCCTACTCCAGATATATGGATTTGTGATTTGGTTGGAGGGACTCCCTAACAGAAAGCAAGACTGGGGCCAAACCTGGCAAGCCTTGCACAGCAGGGTAGGGAGATCAAATGTATTCAGAACGTCACCGAGGCCAACCAGAGACTTAGAGCGTGAAAGTAACAATCATACAAGAAGGTTTCCGTCATCAATAACAACAAATGATATCATGAAATCATACACGAATAGATAACACCACTAGACTCATCTGGTGTACTTTATGCATGACTGAGGGAAGTGGAAGACATACCTATGAGAAAGCTTCTGGAAAGTCTAACACCTTCACACTCCAGCCTGTCCGTCTGGGAGCTTCTCAGTGTGCCCTGTCACCCAGCACCCTCTATTAAGGAACTTCTCTCCTGAAGGCGACACTGTGTGATCCACGGAGAGAAGGCTGCTGGTGCAGAGTGCTGGAATTCCTGACCTATTATGGGAATTCTCAGACAAGATCTGGATGTAGCAATTTCTTCTCTTGAGAGAATAGCATGGATAAGCGTTATGCAACATTCAAGATCTAAATCTGATAGACACTTATTTAATGCAAAATGGAACAAAAGCATCAGCCACTCATCTCTTCTCTTCTTCCTGATTACACAATGAAAGACGGGCAGCCTACCGAAGTACTCCACAAGCCCAGGGAATAGAGAGCATCTCACTTTGCAAAGGCGAATAAATCACCTCCATGTTGGGATCAGCGATCCATTTGTGACAGCAAACTTTTTCATCTTATCTCTCTGATCAGTTGAAAGGGATGAGGGGAATCTGTTCTTCCTAAGAAGAAAGGGCAGACAGAAGTCTTTGAGGCAAAAAGGGGAAAAATTGGAAAAAAGGAGTGAAAGAAAACAGGAAGAAAAAGGGAGGGAGAGGAAAATAAAGTCTCCACTTCCGTAGACATAGATTTAAAAGCTTTTTAGTTGGTATAAAAGAATTGATCTCAGTAACACAAAAAGAAAGGGGAAAAGGGAGTGAATAAATTTCCCTAGATCCACAGGACACAAACTTCTGCTTTCTTTGGCCCAAATGATGTACAGAAGGTTCTTGTTTGTTTGTTTTGCTTTGGGTTCTTGCAATTTTCCATCATTAACTGAGGCAGATTCCAGGGTTTTCTTAGGGTGGGTTCACGTTTCTATTTCCTTTGGGGTAGTAGAAATCATGGAACGATTAATTAATCGCATCCTATTCCTGCTCATGACAATATTATGGATAAGGACTAATCATGCAGAGTACCGGCACCTCACTGCATTGATGGTTATGTAGAATAACAAACTAACAGTATCGTTATCAAGGAGAAATGAGCATTAGTTCCAAGTCCATCAGAATCAACATAAGAATTATCAGTAGTTCCCAAAGATACTATACCACTAAAGTAGACATAACCAATACAAATGCCAAGTATCCCCAAACTCATAGACACCCTCAGAGGCCCTTAGTACTATTAAGTTCTATTAAGTACTAACTGTCCACACCATTCACAAATGGGCATTCGGAGACAGGATTTTCAAATCACTCTTCAGAAGCTCTGGAGATAGATAACATTTGTACTTAACTGAAAGTCCTATTGAGTTCCTATGCAATGAGATCAGGAGTTAGCTAGATTGGGGGCCCTTTCTAAAAACGGAGAAGACTAAAGGGTTCCAACTCAGGAGGATGGCTTTGAGTAGGAAAATTCACAATACATTGCAGAATAGCTACGGTTTAAGTAATTTGGTATCTAAAAATTCTCACTATGTTTGGGAATGTCAGCATTATTTTTGTAAGGGTAGATATGCTAGAAATCTAAGACAACACCTTAATTAGGTTAGAAGAGTATGCAGTGTATTGTGTAAATGTTTACAGTGTCATTTTTAACAAGCCTGGGGAAGACACCGTAAGGAGAGAGAGAGAGAGAGAGAGAGAGAGAGAGAGAGAGAGAGAGAGAG